ACGCTGACCCCTATTCATATCATTCGCATGGCACCTATCTCACTAGAATTTACCAAAGAACATAAAACATCATTTTTTCGGGGTTGCGCTTCATCTCGCCTCGATGAAGCACAACCAAGTGCTTGGGAGCACAACCAAAGTCATTTATCGCACAAAAATGAGCTTGGTTGCGCCCCCAAACGCTGGGTTGCGCTTCATCTCCCCTCGATGAAGCACAACCTTGGAAAATGATTTTTTTTTTTCTTCTTTGGTAAATTTATGTCTTCCAGACCATAGATTATTTTGCCTGTCGAAAAACTTGAAAGAAAGCGTGAAAAAACAAAAAATGTAACTCTTGTTTCATTTTTCCCTTTGAGCCTCTCCGTGTTTTTCCTTTCTTTTTTCTCCTTTTATTCTGCTTTTGTGTTTTTTAGATTTTGCTGCTTTGCTTTTTCGCTTTTCCGATGTTGATACTTTTTTTTTCGCTTTTTTCGCGTTTTTCGCGAAGTTAGAATATGCTACGGTCTGGATGACATAAATTTACCAAAGAAGATAAAAAAAATATCATTTTCCAAGGTTGTGCTTCATCGAGGCGAGATGAAGCGCAACCCAGCGTTTGGGGGCGCAACCAAGCTCATGTTTGTCCGATAAATGACTTTGGTTGTGCTCCCAAGCACTTGGTTGTGCTTCATCGAGGCGAGATGAAGCGCAACCCCGAAAAAATGATGTTTTCTGTTCTTTGGTAAATTCTAGTGAGATAGGTGCCATACGAATGTCATTCGTAGTAGTAGTAGTCGTAGTCGTAGTCGTAGTCGTAGTCGTAGTAGTAGTAGTAGTAGTAGTAGTAGTAGTAGTAGTAGTAGTAGTAGTAGTACTACGGCCAGGACGGATGTGCTGCCCGGGAAAGTGCGTTTTGACTGCGCAGGGCCAATGTTTTGTGAGATTCCCCGCGTCGTTCGTTTGGGCAAACGGATGACGAATTTTTCCCTGATTTCATCAACATCATCATCATCATCAGCATCATCAGCAACAACATCATCATCATCAACATCATCAACATCCCAATTGACTGTAAAGTTTAACGGGGGTGGGAGTTTACTATTCCCTAATACCCTTGTTGATCTTCCCAATTGAATGCAAAGTTTAACGGGGATGGGAGTTTAATATTCCCTAATACCCTTGTTGATCTTCCCAATTGAATGTAAAGTTGAACCGGGGTGGGAGTTTAATATACCCTAATACATTTGTTGATCTTCCCAATTGAATGCAAAGTTTAACGGGGGTGGGAGTTTAATATTCCCTAATACGCTCGTTGATCTTCCCAATTCAATGTAAAGTTTAACCGGGGTGGGAGTTTAATATACCCTAATACCCTTGTTAGTGGGAGAACCTCCACAGAGTCAACCCCTAACTTGGTTGACCCTCTGGAGGCCCCTCCACCGGGCCCACGTATTCGGAGTTCGGAACGTACTTGTACAGAACAAAAAACGATACTTTATGTATACTTAGTAGAAATCACAAGGTCAACAACTAACCAAAAACATTAGTTTCTGTGGACCCGGTTGGACTTTATGTAAACTTGCTAGAAATCACAAAGTCAACAACTAACCAAAAACAATAGTTTCTGTGGACCCGGTGGGAGAGCCTCCACAGAGTCAACCCCTCACTTGGTTGACCCTCTGGAGGCCCCTCCACCGGGCCCACCTATTCGGAGTTCGGAACGTAATTGTACAGAACAAAAAACGATATTTTATGTATACTTAGTAGAAATCACAAGGTCAACAACTAACCAAAAACATTAGTTTCTGTGGACCCGGTTGGACTTTATGTAAACTTGCTAGAAATCACAAAGTCAACAACTAACCAAAAACAATAGTTTCTGTGGACCCGGTGGGAGAGCCTCCACAGAGTCAACCCCTCACTTGGTTGACCCTTTGGAGGCCCCTCCACCGGGTCCACGTATTCGGAGTTCGGAACGTCATTGTACAGAACAAAAAACGATACTTTATGTAGACGTGGCGGAAGCGCCTCCACAGCGTCAACAACTAGCTCAGTCGACTCCCTGGAGGCCCGTCCAACGAGTCCGCGTGCTGACAACACGGTATACCTACAAGAATAACGATTCACCAACAACAAGCACACAAACATTCCAGCTGCTTGGGTGAGCTTTTCAAACTCCAAAAGTTTCTTTCCAACCGATTCTTGTCCAAAATGCCTACCTTATACATCTAACGTTAGAAATCGGCAAACTCTTCAACGCAATTTCCACGAAGTCATGAATCCGCTTGTTGATCTTCCCAATTGAATGTAAAGTTTAACCGGGGTGGGAGTTTAATATTCCCTAATACCCTTGTTGATCTTCCCAATTGAATGCAAAGTTTAACGGGGGTGGCAGTTTAATGTTCCCTAATACCCTTGTTGATCTTCCCAATTCAATGTAAAGTTTAACGGGGGTGGGAGTTTAATATTCCCTAATACCCTTGTTGATCTTCCCAATTGAATGTAAAATTTAACGGGCCTGGGCGTAGTAGTAGTAGTAGTAGTAGTAGTAGTAGTAGTAGTGGTAGTAGTAATGGTAGTGGTAGTGGTAGTGGTAGTGGTAGTGGTAGTGGTAGTGGTAGTGGTAGTGGTAGTGGCAGTGGTAGTGGTAGTGGTAGTGGCAGTGGTAGTGGTAGTGGTAGTGGTAGTGGTGGTAGTAGTAGTAGTAGTAGTAGCAGTCGTAGTAGTAGAAGTAATAGTAATAGTAATAGTAATAGTAATAGTAATAGTAATAGTAATAGTAATAGTAATAGTAGTAGCAGTAGTAGTAGTAGCAGTAGTAGTAGTAGTAGTCGTCGTCGTAGTAGTAGTAGCCGTCGTAGTAGTAGTAGTAGTAGTAGTCGTCGTCGTTGTCATAGTAGTAGTAGTCGTAGTAGTAGAAGTACTCGTCGTCGTAGTAGTAGTAGTAGTAGTCGTCGTCGTAGTAGTAGTAGTAGTCCTCATGGTAGTAGTAGTAGTCCTCATAGTAGTGGTAGTAGTCCTCATAGTAGTAGTAGTAGTAGTAGTAGTAGTAGTAGTAGTAGTATTAGTCGTCGTCATAGTAGTAGTAGTCGTAGTAGTAGTAGTAGTCGTCGTCGTCGTCGTCAGCGTGCTTGCGTTACAAACAGTCGCACCTTCTCTTGCCTCTCCCTCCTTTCTTTTCCCCCCCTACCTTTCGTCCACCCCCTCTCAAGTAGATCTGCAGGTGTGAAGGTGTGACGATGTAGATCTGCAGATGTGAAGGTGTGAAGATGTAGATCTGCAGATGTGAAAGTGTGAAGATGTAGATCTGCAGATGTATTACAACGGCTGCTTTTTTACGAAGAACCCTTCGCAGGCGCTCTCGGGAATTACGTTCTAAGTGATTGTCCGTCACTATATCTATCTATTTATCTATCTATCTATCTATCCATCTATCTATCTATCGATCGATCTCTCTCTGTCTCTCTCTATCTATCTATCTATCTATATATCTATTTATCTATCGATCGATCTATTTATTTATCTATCTGTCTATCTCTGTCTGTCTGTCTGTCTATCTATCTGTCTATCTGCAATATTGAAAACGAAGCTCTTCTGCGAGACTTCCTCATTTTTCGAAGTTGACAACATCAAAAACGAAGCAATTCTGCGAGACTTCTTCGTTTTTTTGAACTGGACAACATCCGAAACGAAGCAATTCTGCGAGACTTCTTCAATTTTTGAACTTGACAACATCAAAAACAAAGCAATTCTGCGAGACTTTCTTCAAAAATGGAAAATTGAGTGCAGAGCTGACAGCCTCGTACCAATGCGTTTTGCGATTTTTCCAGTCCACCTGTCTACAGTACTGCACCTGCCACGAAAAAGTGATGCCAGGTCATACGAAGTGCTGCACCTGTCACGCAAAATCATCTCAGCAAACCTACAGATCTGATGCTCCAAAATGCAACCCCTCTCAGGAAATCAGCGCCCTGACCTCCTAACAGCTCTGATGAAGATGTCTTTTGTACTGCGCCTGCTCCGTGAAATGCATCTTTGCAGATCCTCTTCAAATGTCCCACGCCCGCCATCGTTTTTGGAAATGCTACAAAACCCTCACGTTTTGCTCACTTTTGAGAAGGTGCACAATCCCCTGCGCCTGCCACGCGAAACGACATCTGAACCTCCAAAAGTGGTCCGAGCCCTTGGTGTTTTTAACATGTTGACTTCGAAATGTGCTTCGCGCCACAACGGCGTGCACTTTTTCGACGTCTCAACTTCCAAAAGTGGTCCGAACCCCTAGTGTTTTTAACATGTTGACTTCGAAATGTGCTTCGCGCCACAACGGCGTGCACTTTTTCGACATCTCAACTTCCAAAAGTGGTCCGAGAATGGTGTGTTTTGCGCATTTTGACTTCGAAATGTGATTCGCGCCACAACGGTGTGCAATTTTTCATCTCTCATCTGGCCAGATGGCTAGCGAGCCTACTTTTCGACCCTCCGGAGCCACGAAAAACACAGTGTTTTGCGACCTTCCTACCTTTTCTTCTGACTCTTTCTCTTCTCTGATCTTCTCTCTTCTACTCTTCTCTTCTCTCTGTCTCTTCCCATCTCTGCTTTTCATCTGTCCATATTGTCGGAAGTTTGACTTCTAAACTTCTTTCGAATAGAGCAGCTAATATAGTCCTTGTCCTTCACCTTCTTGTCCTTCACCTTCTTTTCTGTTCTTTTGGACCCGTGCGCTTTTGCTTGTGGCCCCATTGGTTCCAATTCAGCCACTAGGCAAACTAACAGTGTCAGAGTCAGGGCCCGTCATTCCAGGAGGTGGCTGCCAGTAACGCACGCACGGTGGCGGTGGATGTTGATGGAATATGATGGAAATGTGATTGGACTCTTTTGATGCAGGAGAGGACTTCACGTCTTCCATTCTTTCCAGACTGGTTGGGACAGATGGAAACTTGTTGGATAATCTTGTGGTGCAACATGTTGGGCTTTTTCTTACGCCAGGCGGCGGGATGGGCCTCGGATGGGCGGTGGCCAAGGCAAGCATGGCAAACCCATCGCAACGATACCTCCCTAACGGTGCACGTGCGCAACATCGTGGCACGTTTCTGGGATCGCGCCTCCGGCGACAACCAATGGATCTGCTCACCTGCTCAGATGGCCCTAGGCAAGGAGCTGATGTCTGGGCAAAGTGATCCTTGACAGATCAGAACACTTTGGGGGTTGGGATGGTGCAGCACAACGAGGCATTGTTGCCTGGAGCGAGCAGTGTGGGTCCATGCTCACACGGCAAAGTCGATGTCTGATAGTCTACAATTTATGGAGCCAAGGCTATCATTCAGCCCTCTCGCTCTTTGCATGATCAACAACACAAGCATTATACAAGTAATATAACCATTTTTGCGCGGTGCCAATACCACAGTTCTACGAATCCAATCAGTTTCGCATGGTTTTGTGCCTCAGGAGTGGCTGGCCGACGCCCACCGTGCAGCAGTGTCCTTGCATGAGAAGGGCTATAAGACGGCTGCCATGGAGTTGTACCGACTGTGCATCGACGAGTTAGAAAAGGCCCATGGAGCTGCACCTCGACACCAAGAAGTGTTCGTTGATGAAAGAGCGATCCGGATCACTGCCGATCAATCAACATCAATCAACATCAATCAACATCAGACCCAAGCTGTTTGGCTCAGGAAAATCAATGCGCACTGCAAGCACAAAACAACTTAGCTGTCCTCTATGAGGAATGCCAGCAGCCACTTGAATGGGATCGCTTGTGCTGGGTGTGGCTGCGAGTTAAATAGGTGTCTTTACATTGGTTATCCTCGGGTCTTGATCATAATACAGGCCCATTTGGGCCCATTATAGGGGCCAAAACCCTCACCATTTGTCACCCTTTGTGTCTGGAAAGTTTTGAACTCTGAGGTTCCAGGAGGCGGAGAAGTTACACACAGAGGTTTGTAAGAAGATGGAAGAACAATTTGGGGCAGAGCATGGCGATGTCACATCTTCCAAGTTCAATCTGGTGGCTTGGTTTGCATCGAAAATTTGGGGGCACAAGGTGGTAAAACATAGGAACCCTTAGGAACACATCCGAAGTGTGCCATGTTGTGCCTGTTACTGGCATCAAGACTGCTGACCGATTTGAAACCAACACGAAGATTGGGATGACAACTTTCCACATGAAACTGAGGCCGCTTTGAAGGCAAAGATGGGGTCATTGGCAGCTTTGCCGCAAGGAGTGATACAGAACCATCAGGGATCAATGGGTAACAAGAAGATTGCAAAGGTATACATCATCAAACTCGAAGGAAATGCTTGCAATGGATGATTGATGCTTGTAAACCTCGGCTGTGCGCCGGGCCCCATGCAACCATTCTCCTGCGTCCAGACAAGGAAGAGAGTGAAGCCATGTATCGCAATGTCCTAGAGGTGCGTGAGCGAACCTTGGGGCCACAGCATGCCAACACCCTCCGCGCAAAGGCGAACCTGGCAGAAACTGTGGCTGAAATGGTGAGGTTGTCCAGTATTTTGAGTTTTGGGGTTGTGTCCCTTGTGTGTCAGTTTGCTGCCTTTGGTATCCTTTGCTCATTTCATATCATTTCATGACAAGGGCATCAAGCGAAGATCCTTGCCGTTTTTGCACAATCTCTGTACATATATATATATATATACATATATACATATATATATACATATATACATATATATATATATAATTATATATATATAATTATATAATTAATTATATATATATAATTATATAAATATAAATATATATATATAATTATATATATATATCTGTGTGTGTTCAGATTTGCAGTCAATGTCCCATATGTGTTTTTGTGACGGCTGTACGAACTTGCAACCTGTAAGCATTTCTCAGTATTCCCAACTATGACTATGACTTTATCGAAGGAAGTCTAGAAGTCAAACTTCCGACAATATGGACAGATGAAAAGCAGAGATGGGAAGAGTCAGAGAGAAGAGAAGAGTAGAAGAGATAAGATCAGAGAAGAGAAAGAGTCAGAAGAAAAGGTAGGAAGGTCGCAAAACACTGTGTTTTTCCAATGATTTGTGGCTCCGGAGGGTCGAAAAGTAGGCTCGCTAAAGCGGCGGGTGCGGAGCCATCTGGCCAGATGAGAGATGAAAAATTGCACGCCGTTGTGGCGCGAAGCACATTTCGAAGTCAAAATGCACAAACACACCATTCTCGGACCACTTTTGGAAGTTGAGATGTCGAAAAAGTGCACGCCGTTGTGGCGCGAAGCACATTTCGAAGTCAACATGTTAAAACACCAGGGGTTTGGACCTCTTTTGGAAATTGCGATGTCGAAAAAGTGCACGCCGTTGTTGCGCGAAGCACATGTCGAAGTGAAAATGCACAAAGCACACCAGGTTCGGACCACTTTTGGAAGTTGAGATGTCGAAAAAGTGCACGCCGTTGTGGCGCGAAGCACATTTCGAAGTGAAAATGTACAAAACACACCAGCTTTTGGAAGTTGAGATGTCGAAAAAGTGCACGCCGTTGTGGCGCGAAGCACATCTCGAAATCAAAATGCACAAAATACCAGATGTTGGCGCCACTCTTGGAAGTTGCCATGTCGAAAAAGTGCACGCCGTTGTGGCGCGAAGCACATGTCCAAGTCAAAATGTACAAAGCACACCATGTTGGGACCACTTTTGGAAGTTGAGATGACGAAAAAGTGCACACCGTTGTGGCGAGAAGCACATTTCGAAGTCAAAATGCACAAAACACACCATTCTCGGACCACTTTTGGAAGTTCAGATGTCGAAAAAAGTGCACGCCGTCGTGGCGCGAAGCACATCTCGAAGTCAAAATGCACAAAATACCAGATGTTCGTGCCACTTTGGAAGTTGAGATGTCGTTGCGCGTGGCAGGCGCAAGGGATTGTGCACCCTCTCAAAAGTTAGCAAATCGTGAGGGTTTTGTAGCATTTCCACAAAGGATGGCAGGCGTGGGACATTTGAAGAGGATCTGCAAAGATGCATTTTCCGTGGCAGGCGCAGTACAAGAGACGTGACATGTTCATCAAAGCTGTTAGGAGGTCCGGGCGCTCCTGAGAGGGGTTGCATTTTGGAGCACCAGATCTTCAGGTTTGCTGAGATGATTTTGCGTGACAGGTGCAACACTTCGTATGACCTGGCATCACCTCGTCGTGGCAGGCGCAGTACTTTAGACACATGGACTGGAAAGATCGCGAAAAGCATTGGTACGAGGCTGTCTGCTCTGCACTCAACTTTCCAGTTTTTGAAGGAAGTCTCGCAGAATTGCTTCGTTTTTGATGTTGCAACTTCGAAAATGAGGAAGTGTCTCAGAATTGCTTCGTTTTTGATGTTGTCAACTTTGAAAACTGAAGAAGTCTCCCAGAATAGCTTTGTTTTCAAGCTTGCAGATAGACAGATAGATAGAGCGACAGCTAGATGGATGGATGGATGGATGGATAGATAGATAGATAGGTAGATGGATAGATAGACAGCTAGATAGATAGATAGATAGGTAGATAGATAGATAGATAGATAGAAAGATAGAAAGAAAGAAAGATAGATTGATGGATGGATGGATACATGTGTAGATAGACAGAGAGATAGATAGATAGATAGATAGATCGATCGATAGATAGATAGATAGATAGATAAAGAAGAGAAGAGAAGAGAAGAGAAGAGAAGAGGAGAGGAGAGGAGAGAAGAGAAGAGAAGAGAACAGAAGAGAAGAGAAGAGAAGAGAAGATAGATAGATATATAGATAAACAGATTAGATAGATAGATAGATAGGTAGATAGATAGATAGATAGGTAGATAGATTGGATTAGATTAGATTAGATTAGATTAGGTTAGATAAATAGACAGACAGACAGACAGAGACAGAGACAGAGACAGAGACAGAGACAGAGACAGAGACAGACAGACAGACAGAGAGAGAGAGAGAGATAGATAGATAGATTAGATTAGATTAGATTAGATTAGAAGAGATAAGATAAGATAGATAGATATATAGATAAACAGATTAGATAGATAGATAGATAGGTAGATAGATAGATAGGTAGATAGATTGGATTAGATTAGATTAGATTAGCTTAGGTTAGATAAATAGACAGACAGGCAGGCAGACAGAGAGAGAGAGAGAGATAGATAGATAGATGGATAGATAGATAGAATGGATGGATGGATAGATAGATAGAATAGATTGATGGATGGATGGATGGATGGATAGATCGATAGATAGATCGATAGATAGATAGATAGATCGATAGATAGATAGATACATAGATAGATAGATAGATAGAATGGATGGATGGATGGATGGATGGATGAATGGATAGATAGATAGATAGAAAGATAGATAGATAGATAGATCGGTAGGTAGGTAGGTAGATAATCAGAGAAAGAGAGAAAAAGAGAGAGAAAGAGAGGAGACATCAATCACCTTTCGGTCCGTCAGTGGCTTCGCGCTGCTATCCGTGATTCACAACAAACTACCTCTCCTATAGGTTTCCTATTTCTGAAACTTCCGCCACAGCCTTGTGCGGTACTACTGGTAATAGATGTTCATACACACACACAGACATATATATATATTACGGGTATATTTATATATATACATATACCGTATACCTGTATGCATGTATGCATGTAGGTAGGTAGCTAGCTAGCTAGCTAGGCAGGTAGATATGTATTTTTAGAAAACTACAAGACAATATATTTTCTATATATATATACAACATTTTGGAACCGTATTTAAATCACCAACCTCTCAGATTTCACGCAGCCACCCGAAACTGCCAGAGACTCTCAGGACATTCTTCGACGTCAGGATCGCCTCGAGGAGGCTGAGGCGATGTTGACGAACTTGGTGGATCAAGCGCGTGTATCCTTCGGACGCCCGAGCTGAACGGGGATCATAAAACATCTTAGATCATGATCCAAAGCTTGGTTTCCAAGATTGGGAAATTCAAATTGGGGAAGAGAAATTTGAGTATTTTGAACTGAAGACGTTGGGCCAAACATAATTCAACAAAGAAGCGACTGAAAGGGATTTGGTGTTCGTCAGTTTCCATAATGTTTGACAAATGTTTGGAAGCCCTACTGCCCGACCGGGAATAATTACAACCCCAGTTGATGATTAGGTGAAACCGGTGAGACCTGCTGTCGGGAATGGGACGAAACCTCCAACTACCGATTGGGGTGCTGTGGGAATTACTGGATGCCACGCATTCACTGAGCTCCAATTTGCGCGCATGAAAACGTCCGACTGAGGACGAGATGATGCCACAACATTGAAGGGCAGGTGTCAGCTGGCGCACATCTTGGCACTGCAAGGGGATGAGACCCGTCATCGTCAAGCTGAAGCTCATCTACGTGAAGTGGTGTCGCGCCGCGAGCAGAAGTTGGGCCCCAGCCATCCCGAGACCTTGACGGCCTTGGGGCGTTTGGCCTTCGTCTTGGAGTGCAGCAATCCACGTGAGGCCGAACAGTTGAACGAGCAGATTTGGCAACGCTTGGATGCCTTGGCACCTTCGGAGAAGCGTCGTGGCCGCGCACGTCAGGGCGTCTTCTCTTTGAGCTTGGCGGAACTTGGTGAGCCTGAAAGGGAGGAAACCTTGGTGCGGCAGGTGGTGGAACGGCGCAGCTCCACCTTGGGTGCCACCCATCCAGATACCCTAGCAGCCCGGGCTGAGCTCGCCAACATTTTAGCCCGCAAGGAGGGTCCAGAGGCAGCCGAAGAATCCTTGGCGCTGCGACGGGAAGTCGCAAATCTTAGTGAGACCTGCTTAGGCGTTGAACATGTGGAGACGTTGGCGGCCAAAGCTGCTCTGGCTGGAGCTATCCTGAGGTCTTTGGGACCTGATGCCAATCCAGCAGATGTCAAAACAGCAAGGGCAGAAGCTGAAGAACTCCACCTGAAGGCTGGAAGCAAGTGCAAGAGCCGCAAACAGACTATATAATACTTTAGGATCTTTAGGTTTTAAATGTCCCTCCTTTCTCTATTCACCTGGTACAGAAATGTGGCCGTTCATTTTGGGCAGGTCAAAGAATATAGTTCTGCACCCTTCCACTTTGCAAATCTTTGTCAGGCCACTGCTCGCTTCAAAGCGGCCCAAGCACCTTTGCCTACCCCAGCCTTCCCATCGGCGTTTGCTGCATATGCGCCAGCCAGCAACAAAATTGCAGTCTCCTGGCTGGAGATCAATCATCTTTTATGACTCTGAACGTGTGCGTGTGTGCGTGTGTGCGTGTGTGCGTGTGTGCGTGTGTGCGTGTGTGTGTGTGCGTGTGTGCGCGTGTGTGTGCGTGTGTGTGCGTGTGCGTGCGTGTGCGTGCGTGTGCGTGCGTGTGCGTGTGCGTGCGTGCGTGGGTGTGCGGCGTGTGCGTGCGTGTGCGTGCGTGTGTGCGTGAGTGTGCGAGGCGTGTGCGTGCGTTGTGCGCGCGTGTGAGTGCGCGTGTGCGTGCGTGTGCGTGGTGTGTTGCGTGGGGCGCGTCGTGTGTGCGCGTGCGCGGCGCTTTGTGTGAGCGCGTGCGCGCGTGCGCGCGGCGCGCGAAGTGCGCGTGTGCGCGTGTGCGCGTGTGCGTGTGCGTGTGCGTGTGCGTGTGTGGGTGCGTGTGGGTGCGTGTGGGTGCGTGTGTGTGTGGGTGTGGGTGCGTGTGTGGGTGTGGGTGTGGGTGTGTGTGTGTGGGTGGAACTTTTGAGCAGAAGTAAAACCCTCTACTGTTGCTTCTTTTTCAGACTTCTGATTTCAGCAGGGGGACGCGGCATGCAATCAGGGACCACGTCCAACCAAGCTACTTGATTGCATGGGATACAGAGCCTGATGAGCTCTGCGTACCTGCTCCATTTTCCAATTTGTATTGCAAGCGGCCAAGCCAACAACTGCCCAGCCGTTTTTTACATTTCTGCACAATTGGCGCAATCTGAGACCGCGGTGAAAGGACAACTACCGATTTATTGATTTGGACATCTTACACTGGATCCTCGTGACTGGTCGATCCTATGTGTTCTCCTCTATAATGGAAGTGTTGCTTTGCACGACCGATGCATTCCATATCATAATTCGAGAAGACAAGTCTGAGCAAGTGTGTGACTCATGTCGGGTTCGACAGGATGACATGAGCCCTTGGGAGAATAACTTTCTAGGTAGGAACTGGGATCCTCGACCCGGCTCCGAATTTACAATTTTCAACCTAGTAATTCGTCTAAGTGAAGTGAAACAGTGGGCATTTTTAAACTCTTTTCACCCTGTCATTCTTCGGTGGTTGAACAACTGGCCGCAGTACTGGGCTTCGCCTTCTTTCGATTTTCACCCTGTCGTTTGTCGCTGGTTCTCCAACTGGCCGCTGTACCGGGCTTCATTTCCTTTGGTTTGCCGTGGAAACCTCCTTGTTCAACTTTGATCAAGAAACTGACCAGCTTCTGGCATTGCAACATGACAAGGTTTAGGCTTCAGGACATGCCTTTCAGGTGTGGTCACTTTCTTTTGGTTGATCTGGTGAGGTCAAGTTGTGCACAAATTCGAGGGTTGACTATTTCAGCTGTCTATGGGGTTGATTTAATTTTTCGGCCATTGAGCCTGATCAGGGAGTTCTGCATTGGATTGTGGATGCATCAATTTGTTTTTGAAACGTGTTGGATAATTTGATACATGATTCCCCCTGGCTCCTCGCTGCGTTCTCCTCCTCGCCACCGCCGTGCCACATGAATGCCCCTTGCCGAGCTGCTCGTTCTTTGCACGGCACCTTCGGGTGACTGTGATTTTCGGTCGGAGGTTTCAAGTGGTTTTCCTGCACTCAACATCAGTCTTCCCTGCTTGCTTTTCTCCTTTCCGTTTTGCAATCACCTCATGCATATCACCCATTTCGTCCAACTTTCTTGCCACTGCCTGCGGATCCGTTTTCTCCGCCCACAAAAAGCATTTACCACCCATCGTGTTCCTTGGCCGCCATTCTCCTCCTCGCCTCGGCCGCGCCACATGAATGCCCCTTGCCGAGCCGGCACGGCACCCTCGGGTGACTGTGAATTTCGATCGGGGGCTTCAAGTGGTGTTCCTGCACTCTGTCAAGTCGCTGGTTCAGTCCCTTCGACATCAGTCTTCCATGCTTCCTCAGCAACTTGCAACTTAGCAACCACCTCAATCATCATTCATTTCGTCCAACTTTCCAATCACTGCCTGCAGATCCAACCTCTCCACCCACATAGGGCATCAGGAAAACCACCGCTTGTGGTCCTGTGGTCTTCCAAAAAAAAACCGTGCTGCGGCAGGGTGTGTGTGTGTGTGTGGAACTTTTGAACAAAAGTAAAACCTCTACTGTTGCTTCTTTTTCAGCTTTTGGATTTCAGCAGGGGGACGTGGCATGCAATCAGGGACCACGTTCTTCCAAGCTACCTGATTGCATGGGATACAGAGCCTGATCAGCTCTGCGCACCTGCTCCATTTTCCAATTCGTATGGCAAGCAGCCAAGCCAACAACTGCCCAGCCGTTTTTACATTCCTGCACAATTGGCGCAATCTGAGACCGCGGTGAAAGGACAACTACCAATTTATTGATTTTGACATCTTACACTGGATCCTCGTGACTGGTCGGTCCTATGTGTTCTCCTCCTCTGATCAGGAATAATTGAAGTGTTGTTTTACACGGCCGACGCATTCCACGTCATAATTCGATAAGACATAAGACAAGTCTGAGCAAGTGTGTGAGTGTGATTGTGTTCGTGTTTGTGATAGTGATGTATGTTGCCAGTCTGCGGAGTCTGCGGGTGTATCAAAATCCGTTGGTTGGTCGGCTTGCCTTTCACATTTTTTACTCTATATTATGCATTATTATGCCGCACAAGCTCTTCAACCATAGCCTCTGAAGGTGTCAGCATGGGTAGCAGCACATGCAGCGTCATCATCATGTGCCGTTGTGCTTCCCATATCTTTCCAAGGTCCTTGCACAAGGTTGAACCGCAGCCATCGTCGAATGCTGAAGGAAGTGGCGACCGTACTGCTCCAGCTGCAGCTGACAAAAAACATGGCAACTGGTAATTATAGATTATAGGGCCTGAAAATTAGTCATTGAGAAACTCCTTGAATCCTGAACTGGGATGAATTTGTTGGGTTCCACATTTTCAGCTGCGAACTTGTTTCACACCCTGCGGTGTGCCGTTTCCTTCCCTTCCTCCTTTGAGACGGGAAGGGGGCAGCACGCAAACGCCGCCAGTCCAGGCAGAGCTCAAGGAGGCAGATCCACTGTGACCCATGAAGTCTTCAAGTATCTTCAGATCGTGACTTTGCCGTGAACAGTTTGGACATTAAAACTTATCTGCAAGGCTTTCCACATCTGAGTGTCTGGAATTATCAGGATCCAGCTTGAGACAAGCCAAAGTCCAAAGTTGCCCCCAGGCAGCATGAAATCAGCATGAATTTGCAGATTTGCAGCTGCTCGAAGGCAGTCCAGCTGTTGAATGGATCCGCCAGTTTCTATTGAGAAATTGGATTGTCGCGCCTGCCGTGTGCAGTTTGCATGCCACCAGTGAGGGCCCCGGAGGCCAACCGCATAAAGCGCTAAAAAAAAAGTGGCTTCAAATTGGTGGGATTCTTCATTCCTGCCTCACTGGCACATGAATGCAGGTATTGGCGTGGGCTCCAGTTTGGTTTTTTATATGTAATGCAGTACGTCGGTGCAAAATAATTTGATGTTGCTGAAGAAATTTGCACAAAAGACTTACAGCCCAGTCAGGAAATCCTTTACAGTGCACCTATCGAATCATAGCGGTGCTTTGGACAGAGAAAGATCCACAACTTCACTTCTCCCCACTGATCTTAGCGCATGGCACATGAGGCGTAGCCGTCGAGATTCCTTGTCAAGCTCTGTTTTTGCTATTGGTATGTGCGCGTGATTTACTGCTTCACTGCATGAGCTTTTGTTATGTAATCATCATGTGGTGTTTGTATGTGTTCGCGTAAATATACGCATGTGTATATATATATGTGTGTGTGTGCGTATAGATGGTATAGATGTGTGTGTGTGTCTGTATGAATATATATATATGTAATGTATGTAATGTATGTAATGTATGTAATGTATGTAATGTATGTAATGTATGTAATGTATGTATGTATGCATGCATGCATGGATGTATGTATGTATGTATGTATGTATGTATGCATGTCTGTATGTATGCATGAATGCATGCATGCATGCATGTATGTATGTATGTATGTGCACATATATATATACATATAGATATATGTCTCTCTGTCTCTCTCTCTCTCTCTCTCTCTCCATGTGCGTGTGTGTGTGCACGAAACGTGTCCGTTTTTCTCTGGACTGGGATGGCTATGCCGGTGGAAGCTTCGGCTCAAGGCCAGGCACTGATAGCAGGTCCCCCGCCGACTTCGGGCCAATGTCGGCGTCCATATGGCCACAGGGTTAAGTTCCAGGCAGGGCTGGTAGAAAGTCCATTTGGGAGGGTGTTTCCTCAGCAAAGCCATTGGTTTTGGTTTCGGGTTTCTGGTGATGACCAGGGCATTGCTTCAATGACTTGCAGCATGCCATATCATACCGCGGCCTATTCACTATTCAACTCGCGCGAGTGATTCCACGCGTGAAGTCGGCAGACTTCAACACGAAAAGCCACGCAACTTCCTGATTCTGACAAAGTCTCTTCCCAAGCTGAGCCGGCTAAGGCATGCAAATACCTCTAGTGGCAGCTCTTTGTGCCGTGACAATTTCCGTGTCGAATGCTTCAGAGGTCCCTCAGCTGAAGGATTTTGGGGCCTTGATGCTGCTGGCAGTGTTTCAATATGTTTCAATCGTGGTCTTTTCGGCAAGGACACCACGTGGACGGGCCAGCGAAAAGCGCTTCTTCGCCAGGAGTTCAGAAACTGCTAATTCCAAGTTGAAAATGTTGGAAGCTGCCAACATACGACCCCATTGCTTGGCGACAGCCATGCAAGAACGACCTGGTCACACCAATCACCTTCATTCTTTTGAATGGGGCACTTGTATGCAATTGTATGAGATGTGTCGGCATTCAAACAGATGCAGCGCATGAGCCTGTTTTTGTGGTGGGTCGCGGCTGCAGGAATTTTCATCAATTTCGGCGGCAACTGCCAACAGAAGGCAGGCAATCCTGTATGTGTGACCGCAACCAAGTGCTTCAGTCCTGGGAAGTTGAACAATGTGAAAACCACGCCACCTCTCCTAGGAATGGCGACCATCTCAAAAAGGTGGAACATGATTCTGCGCAAGAAAGCTTGAGGCGCCGGGAAATGTTTGGTAAGTTTTTGTTTGTTTCCGCGAAGGTGCCAAGAAGAGTCCTGAATAATTAACCCTGAGCTGCATGGTGTTGGAAGAGATCAGTACTCATTTGTGGTCATTTCTGGTCACGGCCAAGTCTGTAGAGTCCAGGCACCAGGCCATGGAATAGCTGCAAGGAGATTCAGAGAGAGAGAGAGAGAGATAGAATTACAGCATGATATGCTGCGACGTTATCTCTCCCTTTGCGGATTCAAGCCTGCTGCTATTATATATCATATTATATATGCAATTGCTATTTTAATATATAGGCATTACAATTATAATATTTAAAATAGATATAATATAAATTATATATATATACAATAAATGTCAAATAAAATAATATGTTCAAATGTGTGCCTTTGCCATACATACATACATACAGACATACAGACATACAGACATACAGACATACAGACATACAGACATACAGACATACAGACATACAGAGACATACAAGACATACAAGACATACAGACATACACAGACATACACAGACATACACAGACATACACAGACATACACAGACATACAATTGCATACAATTACATACAATTACATACAATTACATACAATTACATACAATTACATACAATTGCATACAATTACATACAATTACATACAAGTACATACATACAATGACATACAATTACATGCAATTTCATACAATGTCGTACATGCAATGAAATACATACAATTACATACATGCAATTACATGCATACAATTACATACAAGTACATACATACAATTACATGCAATTCCATACAGTTACATGCAATTTCATACAATTTCGTAAATGCAATGAAATACATACAATTACATACATACAATTACATACAATTGCATATGTGTGAATCAGGTTTGGAAGGCTTGGGTTTTCACAAATCATTTATCAAGTTCTCATCACACAATTGCAGGCATACATACATGCATACATACATACATACATGCATAGATACATAGATACATAGATACAGACATACATAGATACATAGATACATACATGCATGCATACATACATACATACATAGATTTATAGATACATAGATACATAGATATATAGATAATTACATAGATATATACATAGATCAGAACTTGCAGAAGGATTATAATTGAGATGTAGTTGATGAATGATGAAGGGACCGCTGTGGGTGTGCTTGCCATAAGGAAACCACCTCCAAATCTAGATCCTTGGTCACAAGTCATCACAAGTCTAGGGTTATCCAGGGTCATCTTGGAGCACTCTTATTTGGTGAACTGAAAACGTTGGAACTGCATGGGGCTGTCATTTTGGTTTCACCTTGATGCAGATGACCGCACAGGCAACCGACAGCAAGTGACACCATCAAAGCGGAGCTCCAGCTGGCGGCGAAGGATTTGCATCTGAGCAGTGATGGTGAAATGTGCAACGCTGGAGCAGCAGGGTCCATCCGTTTATCAACATAACAATAAGAATAATAATAATAGACAAAACAGACTGGAGGAACCAGGGATCACCAAAGGGACGCGGCCGAAACGACTTGTTTCTAGCATGGGACCTGCATAAAATATAAGAAATTCAAAAATGGTAGTTGACTTACAAACCTTCACTGGATCCTTTTGTTTTGCCACATCAGCCAAGATTGAAGGATTGGAAGGCTTTGGTTGTTTGGCCCATTATGACACGTCCATTGTTCGTCGTTTCCAGTTGTTCTTAGGCAGATTTCTCCAGATGAGACCGCTCAAGTGGTGTTTGCCAGTCAAGCTGTGGTCCCACCTGCTCCGGAGGTTGGAACCGTTTGTATACTGTTTTTTTAATGGTGCAGATCACAAGGTGATTGGTCATTGGTGATTGGCCCTTGTTTATGAAAAATGTATGGGCATCCTTTAATGAACATCATCCCCATCACCCATCAACATCCATCAACCGAGATTCATTATTAAATGCAACAAAAACATATTTTGGACGCCTCCCTCAGCGCTTGCGTGACCCCGCTGGGGGTGTAAGGCCACCAACACCAGTTTGACCGACTCAGTGTTCTTTGCTGCCGAAATGCTTGGCCTTTCTTCACAGCAGGCAAGCTCTGGCATGATGAAGACGTGAATATGTATAGCATACATCTGAAATATTCATGGGTAGGTCACGGTAGGTTTTATGATTTTTCCTTCGTTCTACGGTATGTTATGCATATACATATATACATATATACATATATACATATATACATATATACATATATACATATATACATATATACATATATACATATATGTATATATGTATATATGTATATATGTATATATGTATGTGTGTGTGTGTTTTTTTAAATATGTTTGTTGTCCTAATTATTGTTTATTCTTGCGGAGATGCGTGCCATCATTGACCACCCGGGTTTCAGGTTGATCACCTGAAGGTCGCCATGGCCAATCTGGATCACAGGTGACGGGTGACACAGCGTGCTGTGGGTCTCATAGACCTTGTGACATGTTTTTCGGCTCAGTCAGTTTTTGAAGGATTTGTTCCCTGTTGTTTTTTTCTCATGTTAACAGCAATTCCATTGTTTCTCCTCTTGTTTTTTGAAAAAAAATATTGTTTACACAGCCCCAACCCTCCCCAGCCAGGAGCTACGTCCACATCCTCCAGGTCCTGCGCGCTGCGGCAAAGGCCGCGACAACGGCTGCGACACTTTCGGTGCCGGCCAAGGCCAGGGCGATCCAAAGGCCTTTGGCTGAGGATTTTTTTTGGGGGGTGGTTGGGGGAAGATTCCATAAGGTTCTCAATGCAATGGCAATTTTCGTGACAAAATCAGTAGAAGTAGTCAACATTGAACTCATTTTTACTGGGTATTTGTATGTATTTGGTTAGGTTTGGACAGTCCACCAAGGTACCCAGGGCACCCAAGCCCTATCATTTCCATCATTGTCTTCCAAGACAATGTGCTTCCCCTTGGCTGCATCCATAAGTCTTCCTGGCTGGGCACGACCATGATAGGTAGCAGCAGTGGTCACAGCAGCTGCCAAAGCCAACTATTCAGCCGAAGAGGTGGGACAATTTGCAGATCGGAATGGAATTTAATGGAATCGAATGGAGGGGACCTTGAAATCAACATTTTTTCTCTGAGAAGGATCCAGTTCGCACAAGGTTTTGCAGCCAACTGCTCTCTCCCAAAGTTCCTAGCGCGCCGCTCATTTCCTGTGACAAGCCTTGCTTGCATTTGCCGTGGCAGACCTTGCTTTGACACTGTCGGTTTTTTGGCAGGTTGGAGCAGCAGCAGCGGCAGCAAGCCTGTCCTTAGCTGATGGCGGGGCTGTCAGCTTTTCATTTGACCACTTCTGGACCCAAGATGACCTACGGTTCGATACATTCACTTGCATCAATGGTGACATGCCTTGCATACAGTTCCAACCTTCGCAAGAGCTTTGACATGCTGTAGCTTTGACTAGTGTCGACGTTTGACTGTGTGAACTTTTGAAAGTTCCACCCCGATACCGAAGCGGTGCAGATGCTGCGAGTACCACGGTGCCACTCCAGGGCTTGGCGGATGCAGTGGGGCAGCTGGGTGTTGAAGGGCAGGCGGCTGTGGTTGCAGCGGCAGGAGCGCAGTTTAGCCAGCATCACTGAGCAGTTGGTGTCGGGCAAACCATGGTAAGCCTGAAACATACCCATCAACCGTCATCAATTGTCATCAGTTGTCATCAATCGTCATCAATCATCATCAATCCAAAGCCTGCCAAGTTACTATGGACAAATTATATAGTCAAGCTTGTTGGCATTGACCTGCAAGACGCTCTACAAGGAGGAGAAAGTTGGAGATCGCAGAGAATGATCGCCGAAATGCCACGGACTTCGATGGTTGCAGTGTAAAGCTGGTGAATTTTCTGGAAAGTGGGGTAGAGGGTTCAGTAAGATCAGTAAGTCGGTCTTGGCATTTTGACATATTTTGACGTTATGTAGCACGCTGAGGTTTCAGGCCATTTCCAGCACTACGCCTGTGTTTCAATGGGATTCTATCAGCCTTTTGGATGCATTTGTCATTTTGCAGAGTAGGTTGGTGATACTGATGCTTTCCTCTCTGGCAAGTAGAACGATGAATAACACATGCATACAAATGCGATTTCATGTGCGTAAGGTGATTTGTCCATGGACCTCACCACTCAATGTTGGATGATGTTGGATGTGTTGGAGAATCTCAAAGAGGCTGTACAAACTTACACAGACCATCACATACCAATACATCTAAATATATCGAATATATAAGTGGTCACACATAGGCTCTTGCATTCCTATGACATGAGCAAAAGGTCCATGCATGTCCATGCATACGGGTAAACATGCGCGCATACCACATGCCAACATACACACAGAGACATACCATACATGCACACAGTTCCAAAGGTCTCCATGTCTGCCCCGATGTCAGGCCGAATGATATGAAAAATGGAGTATCGTGATGGAGATTGCACGTATAAAAATTATAAAACGACACTGATACAGAATACATACACTGCGTTACAAATTGCATTCCATTGTCTTGCTTTGCGTTGCGTTACGCTACATTTCTAATCATTTCTACATACTCATGTGCAGAAACGCTTGTTCCCACTTATGGGGCCACACGAATCTCGTGCAGATGCTCATCCCTTTGGCCTCGATCCTGAAATTGCCACGCGACGTGAAACTGATGACCGTGGGGCCGTGGGAGGGCCGATGTACTTTGAGGGTTTGCAGGTTCCCCTTCGACAGCGTTGAGGTTACTTTGTTATAATTTGTTGTAATTTGTTTGTTATAGTTTGTTGATATGTGTTGTTTTTTCGTTTTGTTCAATGATCACCAATGTGCACTCATTCATTCTAATTCCGTGCGGCCTTTTGGTGGTCTCGTATCAGTGTGGGGGTGCTCCGGGAATCATAGAGTGTCAAGAGTTTGGAAGCACCAGGGAATTTGTCCGATGCTGTTCGGAAGCTGCGTAGGGCTGTCGCTGGAGGGCTGTCCAAACAATCGGGGACACCGTGGAATGTCCTGCCCTTTAAACATCCTCAGACACCCTGCTGAAACGATGTGAGCTGGTGGATTTGTCTATCTTCGGGTCCCCATCTAGGGGGGTTCTTATTGGCTTCGGACGTTTGAATCACCGGAATGTCCTGAACGTCCTGAGGTGGGTGACGCGGTCAAAGATCAGATGGAGAGCCTTGATATTCCTGAGCAGGCAGGGGATATTACCAAGCTCAAGCTCAATTCTTGCAGATTCCATGGGATTTGGTGATCGAATAGCTACAGTAGGTGCTGCTGGTCGTCTCATTTATGATGTTCATATTTACATGCAGAGATAGAGAGAGAGAGAGGGAGAGATAAATAGATGCTTATTTTCAACCATGATTATATAGATGATAATCCTGCATGACTCATATTTTGAGGATAGTTGACATCACCAATCAGCTGTTTTCTCCAGCTGAGGAAAAGATGGACATTGTGAACGCTGCGGTGAATGCTGCAGCAGCGGCTGAGAGACCCAACCTTCGGATGAATGGCACTGAGGGGCTTGACTCCAACTTGGCAGGCATCTTAGGGAGACACAAAGGATGTAAAGGGGCGACTGCATCAGGATAGTTCTTGGATCATGGTCCAGTTGGTTTTGAATTGTGGATGCCCATAGTCTCTAGATCCAAGCGCAGGTTTTCTCGTGCCATGACCCTGAGACCCCGGCTGCCAGGTGACCTTCTGGCCTTGGCCGCCTCAGCCTTCAGTGCTGGATTCAGAGATCAAGAAGTTGCAATTTTCAAGACGAAGTGGCAGGAGTTGCTTTCGAGATAGACAGCCACGCTTGGTGCACCTCCGTGTTTTTTGTAGCTTCGCTTGTTTTCGAAAGTTTGTCGACCTCCTTTTTGAGTCATAAGCAGTGTACCTGGAGGGGACATTGCGGCTCCATCACCCCATGACAATTCATTTACCAGATGTTCAATTTCGTTGCCAACTTTGCCGTTGAACTGAGTTGAATTGCTCCGGAGTTGAGACAAATTGCCCCATCAACTCTTCAACGATTGGAAGTTCCACCACAGCCCAAGCAGACTTTGAAACCTGCGCTTGCAACAGCAGGGGACCAGCAGCCACATGCATGCATCAGTGACCTATATACATCCATCACCAAGGGCCAACGGCAACAATGAGCCCCTTCTACTGGGCCTAGTTCGTATTAATAAAGACATGTACTGACAACGTCCGTACGTACGTACGTACATACATACAGTACAGCAGAGTAGAGCAGAGCAGCGCAGAGCGGAGCAGAGTACAGTATAAGTATACAAGTATATAAGTATACAAGTATATAAGTATAGAAGTATATAAGCATATAAGTATATAAATATACGTATACTAATAATATAATATAGTATAATGTGGCTCAGTACAATATAATACAAATTAATATAATCATACATCTTAATATAATACACATATATATACATAGACGTCATTAACATTCACATTTTTCTTTACATGTGTATTAGCACTACCAGTAGCTACCTTCCCAGCAGGAGATGACCTCGCAACAACGCGCCGTGGCCAAGCGAAGCTTCGATGCTTTGGCCTCCGCCCGTGTGGTGGCTGGATTGAGGAACCTGGGTGAAGGCTTGCCCCAGATGGTCATGGGATGTTATGGTTGGTGAACGATGAAAAACTGAGATATAGAAAATGAGATCCCAAAAGAAAAACATGGGTGATAATGGGTGGTATTTTCTAATTGAACCATCCTAAAACTGAAATAACTTGGAGATGGTCATAGGCACTACAGCATACTATAGCTAAGATGTTAATGCGATGAAATCTTGCATGAGTAATTAACTGCTCGCTTCAGCTTTTCCTGAGATGGCCATGGAGATAGAAAGGGAGGGAGAGAGAGAGAGAGAGGTTTAGATTCAGTTGGGTTTGGCTGGATTGCACCCCGACGATTCCGATACATGACGATAAATTTGAAGTGAATGTTAAGTTGAGTTTTGTTCCCAGAGAGGAAGATGCATAGAATGCATACATCATACTGGTTATAGGCCTAAAAAAATTGTCTCTATTTGTCTCGTTCATTCCGGGGGTTTGGCCCAACGAGCGCTTTTCAGCCTGGTCGGTTTCTCACGTGACAGGGAACCTCTCTACCAATGTGGCATCGGCAGTGAAGGCTTTCGAAGATGCAGGTTGGATGCATGATATTATCATCTGGTAATGAAACATGGATAAACATGGTAATGGAAAAGTCCCCATCCATCGATGATTTTATCATTAAAATGCCAATTTATATAGGGTATGGGGTCAACAGATAAGCAGGACTGGATGGCTTGGCCTTTGCCTTGGTCAAATGTCTTCAATTGCCCCTCGTCATCCGTGCACAGTGCATGAAAGAATACGTGTAGTTGATTTTCTTGAGTGCGTAACTGTATATAGGTAAACCATGGTACAACCATGAATACCATGATATTACGTCATATTACCATATATTACCATAATATCATAAAACCATTAAAAACTATATTACGTTCTTACATGGATGTGGGAATTCCAGGCATTTTAAGCCTCATTGCCTGGTGTGCAGGTGCATCTGCCAACGATGCAGCTCACGTGGCCGCAGAAGTGCTGCGAGCGACGCGTGCTGCGAACGCTGGAGACGCCGGAGACGCTGCGGTCAAGGACAGGAAGGACAGCACTTCCACAGGTGGCCTGACATCCCTCAGCGCGGCCACGAACAGCGTTGCATGCGTTGCAGGACAAGACTCAGCTGCAGAAGACCGTGGAAGACGTCAAGTCAGCAAGACTTAGATGCTTGTTTTGGATATTCTGTCTTGATTCTTGATATTCATGCAGCAGCTCAAGATCGTTTGTTTCATATTCTGCATTCTTCAAAGTTGTACACCTGGGCATCAGCCAGAGGAGAGCATCGCAAAGCGCCAAAATAGTTTTAAAAGATCGAGTTAATACCAATTACACGCAGAATCACGCACAAGATTCAAAGAAAGGAGGCAGGGAGAGAGAGGGAGGGAGAGGGAGGGAGAGGGATGGGAGGGAGAGCGAACTGACGCCCCCCATGAGAATCGAGAGACTCCCCCCGATTCCTTGCCCGAGAGCGATCCTGAGAGAGAGAGAAGACGACCGGAGAAGAGATAAGCAGAGGAGAGAGAGAGAGAAAGATGAGAGAGGAGGGGGGGAGGGGGTGGAGGGGGGGGAGGGGGGGGAGGGGGTGGATGGCGGGTGGAGGGGTGAGGGGGTGGGAGGGGGGGGGGGGAGGGGGTGGAGGGGGTGGAGGAGGTGGAGAAGGGATACACGTACAGATATATATATAATTTATTTATATAATTAAAAATTTACATATATATTTATATATATATATATATATTGATTGTAGAGCTTCGCACACCGGCGATGCCATAAGGGTTATGTATAGTAGTGTGAGCATTGATGTTGTTCATGTGCTCCGTGCGTGCGCGCAGCTGCAGAGCACAGTATGATGTGCTTTTCATACCGCACCTTGTAACACATTTTTTGTCGCATTTTTGTGCTGTCCCGTGCTGGTGTCCCCCCCCCCCCCCCCCGGGGCGAGGCGCCCCCCTCATGCGGTTCCTCTCCCCCCTCCCGGGTCTGCGGGGCGGGGGCCCCTTTTCCCCACCCCCCCCCCCCCCCTCCCCCCTTCCCGGCCCACGGTGGCGGGGGGACCGGTCCCTGGTTGGCCGGTTGATGATGATGATGATGACTGATGATATGTTGTTGTTGTTGTTGCTGTTGCTGTTGTTGTTGTTGTTGATGATGTTGATGTTGTTGTTGTTGTTGATGTTGTCGATGTTGTTGATGTTGTTCTTGTTGTTCTTGTTGTTCTTGTTCTTGTTCTTGTTCTTGTTCTTGTTCTTCTTGCAAGACATCTTATTGTCGCAATTTGTTGGGCCCTAAAACCGTCACATAGGTGGTGTTTTCGTTTTTTTGACACACTCGGAGCAAAAAAACACCGTAAATGCAGATGTTGTTTGCGCCTCGGAAGTCCAAAGCCACGGTATTTACGATGTTTTTTTGGCTTCTGGTAGCAAAAATCACGGTGTTTACCGTGTTTTTGTGCCCGCCCCCAGTAAAAACACTGGTATTTACGCAGTTTTCACAATGTTGCACATGTACCGTAGTTTCTATAGTGGTCGCAGCTGAACGGGCCGGGAAAGGCCGCAGAGGTAGGCCACCACCCTTCGCTACGCCCTGACGTGACAGCTGAACAGCAAGAAAACCAGAGAGTGGTCGCAGCCAAACGGGCCCGGAAAGGCCGCAGAAGGCTACCACCCCTGGCCACGGCCGCGGCGTGACAGCTGAATCGCGCAAAAGCATTGGCCGGGAAGCGCCTCGCCATGCCATACGGAACAATAGAGCAAGCACAGCTTGGTGATCTGGGCGTTGCCCCGGCTGCTGCCAAAGCCGGGGTCGGCGGATATACATATGCAGAGAAAGTGCATATAGCCATTCTATACCCGCATGTGCACGCCTTTGCACAGAATTCCTTTTTGGCATAGACAAATGTGGAGAAACACCGGGAGCTAAGGTGACCAGCAAGCCCAAGCCATACTGAAGGTCATGGCTGGGTTTTCACCTGCAGACACCATTCCAGTGGCTACTGCTTGGGCAGCCATAGGCCGATGCCACCCTCGTGCCATCTCGGATCACTTGGGTAAAGAACTGATTTTTCCAGAGACCGGACTGACACATGACACATCACTGCTGTTGGCATTGAAGCATATTGAAGTTGCGAACCGGTTTTTTTAAACGTTCTCCTGTCAGAATTTTCGGAAATTGTGCGGAGAGCATTTAGTTTTGGGGTCAAAGACATCAAAAACGATCAGAAACCAGGGTTCCCCTTCACATTTCCCATGGGCCAATCCATTGATTTCCGTGAGATGCATTTGATGCTGAAAGTCGTCGCGGAAAGTGATGTGTACAGGCGGCAAGGTTCCCGCACCGTCTACGACACAGGCAGGTGATCGTAGGTCTGGATGGTTGGCCCCATAGACTCACATTTTGATAATATATACATACATAATCATATACCTACCTAACCTGACCTAACCGAACCTAACCTAACCTAAACTACCTACTAGTACCTGCCTACTAGTACCTACCTACTAGTACCTACCTACTAGTACCTACCCTAGTACCTACCTACTGGTACCCACCTACGAGTACCTACCTACTAGTACCTACCTACTAGTACCTACCCTAGTGCCTACCTACTAGTACCTACCTACTAGTACCTACCTACTGGTACCCACCTACTAGTACCTACCTAGTCTAGTACCTACCTACGGGAAGGTTTCGTTTTAGAACGCGGGATAATACTCAATTTGAATCGCGACTTTATTACTCATTTTGAAACGCGACACACACTGTGCCATGGTTTCCATGGTTTCTATTTTTCTCTGTGGTTTTCCATGGTTTTTATGGTTTCCATGATATCTGTGTGGTTTCCATGGTTTCCATGGTTTCCATACTTTCTTTGCGGTTTCCATGGTTTTTGTGGTTTCCATGATCTCTTTGCGGTTTCCATGGTTTCCATGGTTTCCATGATTTCTTTGCGGTTTCCATGGTTTCCATGGTTTCCATGATTTGTCTGCGGTTTCCATGGTTTCCATGATCTCTTTGCGGTTTCCATGGTTTCCATGGTTTCCATGATTTCTGTGCGGTTTCCATGGTTTCCATGATTTCTTGGCGGTTTCCATGGTTTCCATGGTTTCCATGATTTGTCTGCGGTTTCCATGGTTTCCATGATCTCTTTGCGGTTTCCATGGTTTCCATGGTTTCCATGATTTGTCTGCGGTTTCCATGGTTTCCATGATTTGTCTGCGGTTTCCATGGTTTTCATGATTTCTTTGCGGTTTCCATGGTTTCCATGGTTTCCACGGTTTCCATGATTTCTTTGCGGTTTCCATGGTTTCCATGGTTTCCATGATTTGTCTGCGGTTTCCATGGTTTCCCTGTTGTCCAAGATTTCTGTACGGTTTTCATAGTTTGCACGGTTTCCATGGTTTCTGTGTTTCCTGAAGCCTCCCAATGCCAACAAGTGAACCGTCCTGGAACCCTGAACAGCAACTGAGATCCCGACCCCAACCGGAAAAGAAATGTTTCAACCCAAAAAACAAAACCAAGTTTCCCCAAAACTCCAAGCAGCCACCTCGCTGCTAGCTGACGCACCTTTGTGCCGCTTGACATCTAAAAGGCTTCGGTCCGGCCCAGATGCAGGTTCTTCAGGATTCCTAGACAACACCCGGTGAGTTGAAGTCTGGACAACACCCGGTGGGTGGAAGTCAAAGCAAAAGTGGAAGTATTTCCATTTGAGAATTGGGTAAATAGGGATGCATGGAATTCTTACACGCACTCCCCCTATGTGATCAGTTCCACTGACCACATATTCAGCTCAAGCCCTCTAAACAAGTCATAACAAGTCTATCATCTGCAGTGCAGCAAATCGCACATGGATTGAAGGCCCGAAGTGGACCATTGGATCCCGCATCACGACAATGCTCATAATCAACATGAAGTGCATATCCATGTGAGATCGCATACAGCCTATGTTGGGGAACGTCTGACTGTGGGCCACATCTGTGACATCGTGGCGTCAGACAAACTTCCTTGGCATGTCTAAGACCATGACATTCACGGTCACAGTGGTATCTTCCACCAAATGGCGTGGTGAAAAGGGGTTTTGGTCCTCTTTGGGAACGATCGGGAGAAGCATCAAAAAAAAATAAAAATGCATCAAAAAAAAATAAATGCATCAAAAAAAATAAATGACCATGAAGAAAGGGGGGAAGGAGGAAAGGAGGGAAGGAGGAAAGGAGGGAAGGAGGAAAGGAGGGAAGGAAGGAAGGAGAGAAGGAGGGAAGGAAGGAAGGAAGGAGGGAAGGAGGAAAGGAGGGAAGGAGGAAAGGAGGGAAGGAGGGAAGGAGGGAAGGAGGAAAGGAGAAAAGGAGGGAAGGAAGGAAGGAAGGAAGGCAGGCAGGCAGACAGGCAGGCAGGCAGGCAGGCAGGAAGGAAGGAAGGAAGGAAGGAAGGAAGAAAGGAAATAAGGAGGAAAGGAGGGAACGAGGAAAGGAGGGAAGGACGAAAGGAAGGAAGGAAGAAAGGAGGGAAGGAGGAAAGGAGGGAAGGAGGAAAGGAGGGAAGGAGGAAAGGAGGGAAGGAGGAAGGAGGGAAGGAGGGAAGGATGCAAGGGGGGAACGAAGGGAAGGAAGGAAGGAAGGAAGGACCATGTGTGCAGTCAACACTTATCATCGGGTATTTGCGTTCATTTCATCTTCATTGATCTCCATCGCGCCTTGTGCCTATGTACTTCTTTCATGTTCTTTCTTGGTACGCATTGCAGGGGACCCCCCCACCCGCTTTTGTTTTTTCATCAGCTTCCCTTGCTACCTACTCTCTTGCCTTTTGCTCATAAGCATCGTTTCTTAGGGTTCATTTTCTCTTTCTTCTTCTTTCAAAATATCCATCGAGACTTGTGCCTATGTGCTTTCTTGATCTTCTCGTTCTTACTTGCAATATATCCATTGAGACTTGTGCCTATGTGCTTCTCTCTTGGTACGCGCCCTCCCCCCTGCACCCCCCCACCCGCTTTTATTTTTAAACCGGTTCTCCTTGCTACCTACTATTCCTTCCTTTTTGCATAAGCATCATCGTTTATTTGGGTTAATTTCATCTTTGCTGATATCCATCGAGACTTGTGCCAATGTGCTTCTTTCTTGATCTTGTCGTTCTTACTTGCAATATATCCATTGAGACTTGTGCCTATGTGCTTCTCTCTTGGTACGCATTGCGGGGGGAGGCGCTGCGCCCTCTCCCCTGCACCCCCCCACCCGCTTTTATTTTTAAAACGGTTCCCCTTGCTACCTACTATTCCTTTTTTTTGCATAAGCATCATCGTTTATTTGGGTTAATTTCATCTTTGTTGATATCCATCGAGACTTGTGCCTATGTGCTTCTTTTTTGATCTTCTCGTTCTTACTTGCAATATATCCATCGAGACTTGTGCCTATGTGCTTCTTTTTTGATCTTCTCGTTCTTACTTGCAATATATCCATTGAGACTTGTGCCTATGTGCTTCTCTCTTGGTACGCATTGCCGGGGGAGGCGCTGCGCCCTCCCCCCTCCCCCACCCGCTTTTATTTTTAAACCGGTTCCCCTTGCTACCTACTAACTATTCCTTTCTTTTTGCATCAGCATCATCGTTTATTTGGGTTAATTTCATCTTTGCTGATATCCATCGAGACTTGTGCCTATGTGCTTCTTTCTTGATCTTCTCGTTCTTGCTTGCAATATATCCATTGAGACTTGTGCCTATGTGCTTCTCTCTTGGTACGCATTGCGGGGGGAGGCGCTGCGCCCTCCCCCCTGCACCCCCCCACCCGGTTTTATTTTTAAACCGGTTCCCCTTGCTATACCTACTATTCCTTTCTTTTTGCATAAGCATCATCGTTTATTTGGGTTAATTTCATCTTTGCTGATATCCATCGAGACTTGTGCCTATGTGCTTCTTTCTTGATCTTGTCGTTCTTACTTGCAATGTATCCATTGAGACTTGTGCCTATGTGCTTCTCTCTTGGTACGCATTGCGGGGGGAGGCGCTGCGCCCTCTCCCCTGCACCCCCCCACCCGCTTTTATTTTTAAAACGGTTCCCCTTGCTACCTACAATTCCTTTTTTTTGCATAAGCATCATCGTTTATTTGGGTTAATTTCATCTTTGTTGATATCCATCGAGACTTGTGCCTATGTGCTTCTTTTTTGATCTTCTCGTTCTTACTTGCAATATATCCATTGAGACTTGTGCCTATGTGCTTCTCTCTTGGTACGCATTGCGGGGGGAGGCGCTGCGCCCCCCCCCCTGCACCCCCCCACCCGCTTTTATTTTTAAACCGGTTCCCCTTGCTACCTACTATTCCTTTCTTTTTGCATAAGCATCATCGTTTATTTGGGTTAGTTTCATCTTTGCTGATATCCATCGAGACCTGTGCCTATGTGCTTCTTTCTTGATCTTGTCGTTCTTACTTGCAATATATCCATTGAGACTTCTGCCTATGTGCTTCTCTCTTGGTACGCATTGCGGGGGGAGGCGCTGCGCCCTCTCCCCTGCACCCCCCCACCCGCTTTTATTTTTAAACCGGTTCCCCTTGCTACCTACTATTCCTTTCTTTTTTCCTGCTGCTACTACTGCTACTACTACTACTGCTACTACTACTACTACTATTACTACTACTACTACTACTACTACTACTACGACTACGACTACGACTACGACGACGACGACGACGACGACTACTACTACTACTAGTACTAGTACTAGTACTAGTACTAGTACTACTACTACTACTACTACTACTACTACTACTACTAGTACTACTACTACTACTACTAGTACTAGTACTACTACTATGATAGTTTTTTTGGGATACGGATATTTTTGATCTAGGTTTTGCAGCCCACGAACCCGTGACGGTCTCAAACTAAGTGGCCACCTGGATCTGGATATGTTTTGTGATGCATATATATAGTATATATGTTTTGTTTTGATGCGTGCTGGATATTTTTTTTTGATGCATTTTTATTTTTTTGATACGTGTCTCGAACGAGATCCTCATGAATTGCCGGACAAAGCTGCCACAAATAGATGGCTGACGGGAAAAGACTCAAGCCTTTTGCGGTCACATTGCATTTATGATAGGGATGAATCTCCTTGTAAGAGCTAACTTGTTTTTTTGATTGTTTTTGTTTGAAGAGCTGATTTGCTAGGGTTTCATCAATGTGCTGTGGTGTTACAAGCGCCATGGTGGTTACAAAGAAATGCTATGCCTTCCAGATGTCTTAAACAGCAGTATCTTGGATGTGTTTCAAAATGATCCTTATCCGGGGCGTTTGTGTTTCAAAATGATCCTTATCCGTCTGTGTTTCAAGATGATCCTTATCCGATGTTTCAAAATGATCCGGG